TATATACACAATGGAATATTATTCAGCCATAAAAAATGAAATCTTGCCATTTTTGACAACAGGGATGGACCTCCCCATTTTGACAACAGGATTATGCTAAGTGAAATAAGTCAGGCAAAGAAAGACAAATACTGTTTGATTTCACTTACATGTGAAACCTGAAAAACAAAACAAACATAACAAAACAGAAACAGAGTCATACATACAGAGACAAGTAGCTGCCACAGGGAAGGGGGAAGGGAGGAGGAGAGAAATGGATAAGAAAATTAAGAGGTACAAACTACCAGTTACAAAATAAATGAGTTATGGGTATGAAACATACAGTGTGGGGAATACAGTCAGTAATGATCTCACTTGTATGTGGAATCTAAAAAGACACACAAACAAAAAAACCAAGCTCATAGATACAGAGAACAGACTGGTGGTTGGTACTGTGATTATTCTCATTTTCATTACCTGAATCCTAAAAAACATTGTCATGATATTTACAGTGTTAAAAATTAAACAAGCACTATTTCTTTACAAACTACAACAGTCAAGCAACGGTTTTAAAAAAAAAAAGACTGTTAATGCTCAGGATTACAATGCACTTAACTGTACACTTAAATCATATTACTTGGAGTGATGCAAAAGCAGATAATCTGTTACTGTGGATCCACAGTTGCTAGCATTAGGAGTCAGGAGAAAAAAAGAGCAATAGCCATAATGAAGGCAGATGAGCTACATCTTATCTATTTCACACTAGAAACTGAAAGCTATTGCTTTCAGCTTATTTGTTTAAGCCCACCTCATGGGTTCTGTACTTTCCTTTCAACCTTACATACCCGCAACTGAAGAGCAGGAATTTTTACATCCTGGGACACTGAATTTTCAGTCCTAAAATCAGGACAGCTCCAGGCAACCTAAAACGGCTGGTCACTTTGAATCAGTACTGTCTTTTTCCACCCTGCTCAAAACTTCTCAGCTGTACTTATCCTTGATCTTTCTTAACTGAATTTGTGCTCTCAACCACAGTCTTGAGCCCCAGCCCTTGACCTCAGCAATCTTTCCCTCGACTCCTCCTTAATCTCAACCTCTCAACCCTTGTAACAACTGTCAGCCTCAACCAATCTTACCTTCTCAATTCCTCTCAAATTTAATCCACCTTACCCTCTCAACCTTACTTGAACTCAACCTCACCTAAACACTGACTCTTGACTTCACCTGAGTCTGACTTCTCAATATCAACCAACCTGGACATCTCAGTCTCAGTAGGTCTTGTTCTCTGATCCTTCTCACCTCAACGTTGTCCTCTCAGCCTCCTTCCATAGACCTTGACCAATCTCATCCTCTTAATTTCGATCAACCTCATTTCTCCCACCTTTGTTCTCTTTACTTCGACCCACTCGTCTAGACCTCTTCTGTTACTGCAATCTCCCTCACTCTCTCCTGCTACGAAAATTTACCCAGTCCTCAAAAGCAAAGCCTCAAGTCATCTGATATTTATTCAGATTTTAATATTATATCACTATCAATTTGCTGCTAAAAATTTTTCTGGAACCCGTTCATTTCTATCTTCATTGCAAATGTTTTATTTCAGATTCCATTATTGTTCATCTATACTCTACTGCCAAAGTGTCTTAACAGGTCTCTGCATCTCCACTTGAAACAGTCTCCTCCCTCCTATCTTGCTCCCCCAATCTCCCCTCTATGTTAGCCACTCTATGTTATATAATACTAATCATTTCCATCATTTAGCTAACTCTTACTCATTCTTAACCTTAATTCACAGGTTGATACCTCTGGCAGACCTTCTCTGATACCCCCTTCCCAAGTCTAAACCGTATGCTTCTCCTTGAAGTTCTAGTAACGTTTTATGCAGCGTTCTAATATAGCATTTCACTGGGCATTGTTATATTGTATGTTTGGATACATTTTTATATTAGATGTCTCCCAGCCTTGACGATGCTATAAACTTTATAAGAACAAGTTTCTTGAATCTTTATCTGTAGGATCTAACATATGATAAACACATGACAAATATTCAATTATTTTTCAAATATGTACATGACATCCCATTTCTAAAAGTCAGATTATTATAACTTTCATCTTAAAGCAAAGGGAAAAAATTCCTTAATAAAATAATTGGAATGCTAACAGAAACTTTAAAACTGAGTTATAATTGCTATATTCCCTCATAGAAAGTATATATTCCTTTTAAATTTACTATTTTTTCTAATACCTACTGTCTTTAAGACTAGCTAGGGCTTCCCTGGTGGTGCAGTGGTTGGGAGTCCGCCTGCCGGTGCAGGGGACGCGGGTTCGTGCCCCGGTCCGCGGGGATCCCACATGCCGCGGGGCGGCTGGGCGCATGAGCCATGGCCACTGGGCCTTTGCGTCCGGAGCCTGTGCTCCACGGCGGGAGGGGCCACAGCGGTGAGAGGCCCGCGTACCGCAAAAAAAAAAAAAGACTAGCTAGCGTTGGTATTTCTCTTAAACCATAAAATTAACTGAAAAAATTGAACAGGACTTTAATACTCTCCCACCAACATTACTGAGGTCTGCTAATGAAACACACCTGACCCTTGAAAACATGAGTTTGAACCTCAAGGGTCCACTTATACAAGGATGTTCCTCAATAAATAACAGTTGACCCACCATATCTGCGAGTTCTGCATCCGTGGATTCAACCAACTGCAGATCGTGTAGTACTGTAGTATTTATTGAAAAAAATCTGGGTATCAGTGGACCAGCACAGTTCAAACCCCTGTTGTTCAAGGGTCACCTGTACTCGGGAAAAAACCCTCAAATATCAGATGTGTGCCACAAACAAAAGCTACATACTTCTGAATGAATGAACCAGAATTGTTCTGTAACAACAGACCTGAATTTCACAGTAATTGTGTAATCATAGAGGTGGGAATCCTAGTTCGAGCCCTAAATAGCCACATGACCTTAACCAAGTTACTTAAGCTCTCTGAGCCTCAGATTCCTCACCTGTAAAAATAAAGACAGTAATATATCTATGCAGGAACCAGTATAGTCCTACCACAAATGCATACCTGTTAAAAGGATCGCTATGAAAACATAGGTATCACTATAATGAAAGATAATTTTCCTTTCTTTTAGTATTAGTTACTAAAGATACACATCAATATAACTTATAATTTACTGGTATTAATACAAAATAGCTAATTTACAATTAGAATAATAAAATGGAGTGAAATTACTGTCCCATGTTCTTTAGTCCCTTCTAGATCCTAAAAATGGCTACACCAGAGCATATTTTGTGGGAAAAAGCTAACAGAACTGCAAAGTTTCTAGTGAGTGAGGAGAAAGAGATAACTAAATTCTTTACATTTCATGATTCACTTCCATGTGATCATTAATGTTATTTTAAAGAGTAAGAAAGAGCCCAAAGATCATATATCAGCCTTGAAAAGCAAGATAAAACTCAGACTGCTTAGTATATTGAGCATACATGCTATCATCTCACACCTGTCAGGATGGCTATCATCTAAAGAACACAAATAACAAATGTTGGTGAGGATGTGGAGAAAAGGGAACCCTCCTACACGGTTGGTGGGAATGTAAATTGGTGCAGCCACTGTGGAAAACAGTATGGAGGGTTCTCAAAAAACTAAAAATAGAACTATGATATGACCCAAAAATTCCACTCCTGTGTATATATAAAAAAAAACAAAAACAAAAACAGTGATTCAAAAAGATACATGCACCCCAATGTTCATAGCAGCATCATTTACAGTTGCCAAGATATGGGAGCAACCTAAGTGTCCATCAACAGATGAATGGATAAAGAAGATGTGTGTCAGAACTACTAGAGCATGGACTTGAGGATATGGGAAGGGGGAAGGGTAAGCTGTGACAAAGTGAGAGAGTGGCATGGACATATATACACTACCAAACGTAAAATAGATAGCTAGTGGAAAGTGGAAAGCAGCCGCATAGCACAGGGAGATCAGCTAGGTGGTCTGTGACCACCTAGAGGGGTGGGATAGGGAGGGTGTGAGGGAGGGAGATGCAAGAGGGAAGAGATATGGGAACATATGTATATGTATAACTGATTCACTTTGTTATAAAGCAGAAACTAACACACCATTGTAAAGCAATTATACTCCAATAAAGATGTTAAAAAAGAAAAATAACAAAACAAAAAAAGAAAAGAGCTGCATAAATGATTTCCTGCTTCTCCAGGGAATTGAGAGGGCTTAGCTGGAGGGTTTGTTGTAAGTAAAGTCAAAGTTGAGTGGAGCCATATTTATAGGATGAGAACACCCCATCTATATATATATATATATATACACATACACATGTACGTTTTATTTAGCCATAAAAAAGAATGAAATTTTGCCATGTGCAGTAACATGGATGGACTTGGAGGGCATTATGCTAAGTGAAATAAATCAGAGAAAGATAAATACTGTATGATAACGTATATGTGGATTCTAAAAAATATCACAAACTAGTGAATACAACAAAAAAGGAAGCAGACTCACAAATATAAAAAACAAACTAGAGGTTACCAGTGGGGAGGGGGGAGGGGCAACAGGGGTGAGGGCGTGGGCAGTACACACTGTTGGGTGTAAGACAGGCTCAAGGATATAATGTACAACATAGGGAATATAGCCAATATTTTGTAATAACTGTAAATGGAAAGTAACCTTTAGAAATTGTATAAAAAAATTTTTTTAAGGAGTCCAAAGATCATATATCAGTCTTTTTTAACAGCTGTTTGTATTATTTTTATTATATTTAGTTATTTATTTTATTTTTCGGCATCACCATGCAGCATGTGGCATCTTAGTTCCCTTACCAGGGATCGAACCCATGCCCCCTGCATTGGAAGCGCAGAGTCTTAAAAACTGCACCGCCAGGGAAGTCCCCATATATCAGTCATAAAAAGCAAGATAAAACTCAAGACAGCTTAGTATACTGAGTATTCGTGTCTCATAAACCAAAACATACATGTACACATGTCAAACTCCAATGACAGTTCTTACTTTAATCTTTACAGCATCATAACGGATTTGTGAAAACTCACGAAGACCAAAAGAACCTCCAACAATCAGCAACTGAAACAAGACAGGGAAACAATTAAACAAAATAGAAGGGCAGAATTCAGTCTATCTATACATTACTTATCTGAACACCAACAGTGGCAGATTATACAAAATCCTATAGATTATTTTCCCTGGTGAGTTACCATTCATCTTTTCAGAGTAGATATAGTACACGCTATCACTGGGAAACATTTTAGCACATGAGCAAATACCAAAATCATTACCCCCACCTGTACTTGACCTTATGATATAAATATCACCATCACAAGCATCATATTAGTTGATCCTTACAAAAGACCTATGAGCTAAGGGAAAAAAATACACTTAATAGATGAGGAAATAAAAGCACAGCGAACTAAATGACTTGCCCATGACTGTAATGGGTAAATCCGGGAATAAAATCCTGGCCTTGCTTCTTCAAGACTAGAATTCTTTCAATTTTATGATTTTGCAAAATAGGCCAATTAGAGAGCATTTTTCTCCATTTTCTAACCAAGTGATAAAACAATCTCATGGAGTACGTTACCCTTCTCAGTATGTGGTACACCTTAAAAGAGCCCATGAATTGCCATTGCTGCTTTAGCATCTCCTCCGATAATCTAATGGGCTCTACTCTCATCCTAAAGCTGTAAAAGTCTAGCAATTTGGAAAAAAAGTTAAGTTTGATCCCTACCATCAGTATATTAATATTACCAATTAAAGTAATACAAACAGATAAAAACACTGTAAAATATAAAATTCTATTTTGAAGTTGGAATACCGACAAAACCTTGAGGCTATGAATTTAAAAACCCAATAAATCTGACCACATAAAAATTTAGTCTCTTATCTGCAAATAAATGAAATAAAAATGGCATCAAATCAAAAGACAACAAACCAGGAAAAACGTCTGTTATACATAACCAGCTAATACTTCCAATGTCAATATGTAATCATTCTTTATATAAGTAAAGTAACTTTTTTGTCTCTTGGTTTCAATGAAAATGAGACACGGTGGGACCTGGGACCTGGGACCCTTTGCTGCAGTGGTTGCACCTGGACAAACTTCTCCTCCAGCAACAAAATGCAAAGAAAGTATAAGGGACTGAAAATTACTGCAAGCATGCACAGTTGGGGCAAATTATGCACAACAAGATACAAAAAGACCAAAAACCCAGCTGCCACTTCTGAAGAGCCGGGAGCAAAAACACGGTGTCAGGAGTAAAAGCAGGGTACTGCACATGCCCCCTACACTCAACACCACAAAGGGGTGGGCAGACCACCTAAGCCACCCCTTTAGCCCCACCCATGGACACATCCCTATGCTCTCCCCATATAAGGAATCAGCTGGCCCCCACCCTAGGGGTTCGAGCGAGCGAGAGAACCTGTTACCTGTTTTCGTTCCCCCCTGCTGATAAAGTCTTGCCTGAATTTCCTGTCTGGCCTCTTATCAATATCTATCGATTAAGGAAGGCCAAGAACCCCAGTTGGTAACAAAAAGACACACCTGTGATTTTCCTAACTCCTCTCAGCCTCCCTTTATTCATTCTTCCTCACCTTCCCATCTCAAATTGTTGGAGCATCTCAAAAGGCTCACTCTTCACACCTTTTTCACCTCTTCACAACCAAGAGTCCCTAGGTGATGCCATCCAGTTCCACGGATCTAAATAGCTTCTATAACCTAACAACTTCCAGATGCACATTTTCAGTGGGAAACATCCCACTGAAGGGAAGACCTGCCCTCCTACCTGACATCTCCACTTGAAAGTTTAACAGGTATATATAAGTTAACATGAAAAAATTCTTGATTTTTTACCCCAACACTCTTTCCCCAATCTGCTGCTAATCAATCTTCCACATCCCAATTAAGGTCAAATACTTTCATCCAATTACTCAAGCCAGCTTCTCTGGAGTCATCTTTAGCTCCTCTAATTCCTATCTCACATCTAATCCATCACTGGGTTCTGTCAAAATATTTCTTGAATCTGACAATTTCTGACTATATCTTCTTCTAATATTCTAGTCTAGGCCACCATCATCTCTTTTCTGCACCACTGCCATCACAATACCCACGTTACATAATAAAGAATTTGTCTGGTCTTGGTCCTGGGTTCTTGGGAGGGAGCTACTCACTTGGAATTTCCTGAGTCACAGGTCATCTTTGTTATTGGGACCACAGCTGAGTTTATGCTAATGAGATGACTCACTGTGGGTCCCTAGATAGTCACAGGATAGAGGCTGGTCATGCGGGGATGATCAACCATGTGACTAGAGGGTGGGGGCCTTGAGCCATGTGATAGCAACCTGACCTCCAAGGAGGAAAGGGTGGGGCTGGAGATTGAGTTCAGTCACACAGCCAATGATCCAATCAACCATAGATGATGAAAATCCCAATAAAAACCTCTTGATGAGCTTCCTGGTTGGTGAACACATCAGTGTGCCGGGATGGTGGCATACCCTGATTCCACAGGGAGAAAATAGGGAAACTCTGCCTTTGGGACCCTCCCCAGACCTTGCCCTAAGGGCCTGTTCTTTCAGCTGTTCCTAATTCATAACCATTATGATAAAACACTAATCCTAAGTATAGTGCTTTCCTGAGTCCTGTGAGTCATTCTACTGAATTATTGAACCTGAGGGGCTATCAGGAACCACTGAATTTGTAACCAGTTGATCAGAAGCACAGGTGGCCTAATATCGCAGAGCTTTCAGCTGGTGTCTGATAAGGGGAGTTTTATGGAGAACTGTGCACTTAATCTATGAAGTCTGCACTAATGCTACATAGTTAGTGTCAAAATTGCACTGTACTACCGACCACTCATTACCATGGTATCTACACTCCTAGCTAAATATCTCCATTTCTGCACTAGATCCCAATCATCTTATATACTGAAGGGCAGGGATTCATCAAAAATCTTGCTCACCACACAGCAGGATCCATCATAAAAAATGCTATTATTTCTCCCATCTTATTAAAAAATTTCTCTAGACCTTACTTCCCCATCAGTTATTATCCCATTTCTTTGTTCTTACCCGCAGTAAAATTTCTCAAACAAGTTGTCTATGCTTGCTGCTCTTTCCACTTTCTCTTAGACCCATTCCAACCATCACTGACATCCACGTTACTAAATGCAACGTTTAGCTCTCTGTTCTCATCTTACTTCATGAGCAAAATCTGACACCATTGATCACATTTTCCTTCTCTTCCCTTAAACCTGGTTTTCCTTTTACCTCACTGAGAACACTTCTTAGTCTCCTGTACACCCCAACCCTCTGAACTTGGAGTACCCGCAGGGCACAGTGTTTGGTCTTCTCTACCTACATTAACTTCTACCCACAAGCTTAGCGCAAGCATGGTGGCTGCTAAAGTAGAAGGCCTAAAGAGAATAGTTTCCTAACATACTATACAGAATGTCCGGGATAAAATAGACATTCACTTGTTACAAGAATCAGGAAACAGCAACCTGAATCAGGAAAGACTATCAAGTGACGTTAGCAAAGATTTTAAAGGAACCACATCATAAAAGTGCCTCAAAGAGCAATAAACAAATGAAAAATTAGAAAATTTCAGCAAAGACCAAAAAGAAAAACCGAAAAAAAGGTGACATCAGTGAAATGGCAGAGTAAGCATCTCCAAAAACCCTCTCCATGAAAGCAATGAGAACACTGGAAAAAGTTGTCAAATCTACTTTTTCAGAACTTTGGAAATTAAAAAAGGCCTGCAGTGATGTTGGGAACAGTTACGTAAGAAGAATGACTGAATCTCGGTTAAAGCAGAAAGCTTGGTGGCATTTTTAGCCTACCTATTCCCACGTCTCGACCCACGCTCCTTGGTAAACATGAAAACCAATAGTCTAAAATCATGATATAAAGCAGTAACCACTGGAAGGGGCATAATGGGGTGGAGATCCTTGAAGTCGTATTCCCTGAGAATTTTCATTATTTGACCAGTCTGGTGGTTCCCTGGAAGACCCACTCGCAAGGCTGTCTTTAGTTTTCCTGACTTGGAGCTCAACTAGTGCAAACAGACTTCTCCCTGGAAGTGTTTGCTGAAAAAATTCAGAGGCCATTGTTTAACATCATACTGCCTGAGGTGGTAGATAACAGGGCAAGGAATAGTCTAACCAAAAAACTCAAAGGAAAATAGGCATAAGGTGTCCATAGAGGACTCTGAAAAGCTCAAACATATTCCTGACACTCTGGAAGGACATGCACATGAGCAGAACTGTCCACGTGCCCACAGCAATGTGTAAGCTCAGGAGAGATCTGAGAAGGCCCTAAACACTCACTTGTGGCTAACTTTGAGGCTCTGAGCAAGCAAGAAGTAAAAGCTTAAGGCGGAGTTGTAACCTGCCTGGGTACTGAAGGCATGCCCAATCAAGCACACAGAGCCCCTTGACAAAGACTGGGAAACTTACTGCTTCCAGGTGTTTAAGAAAACCTCTGGCCAAAAAAAACAAAAACAGCCCGGACTTCCCTGGTGGCGCAGTGGTTGAGAGTCCGCCTGCCGATGCAGGGGACATGGGTTCGTGCCCCGGTCCGGGAAGATCCCACATGCCGCGGAGCGGCTGGGCCCGTGAGCCATGGCCGCTGGGCCTGCGCGTCCGGAGCCTGCGCTCCGCAATGGGAGAGGCCACAACAGTGAGAGCCCCGCGTACTGCAAAAAAACAACAAAAAAAACCCAGCCCCATTTAAAAATGGGCAAAGGACTTGAATAGACATTTCCCCAAAGAAGATAGACGATAAACAATAATCCACTGTATGAATGAATGTCCTGCATTATTAGTCATTAGGGAAATGCAAATCAAAACCACAGTGACATACCACTTCACACCCACTAGTAAGGGTTTAATTAAAATAAAAAAGTGGACAATGACAACTGTTGGCAAGAATGGAAAAATCAGAAGCCTCATATATTGCTGGTGGGAATGTAAAATGATGTAGTTTTTGGGAAACAGCTTGCCAGTTCCTCAAAATGTTAAACATGGAGTTACCATATGACCCAGCATTTCTACTACTAGGTATTTACTCAACAGAAATGAAAACACATCCATACAAAAATCCGTACATGAATGTACATAGCAGCATTGTTCATAATAGCCAAGAAATGAAAACAACGTCCTAAATGTTCATCAATGAAAAATAAATATTCCAACTGATGGAATATTAGCCATTAAAAGAAATGAAGTTTTGATACGTTACATGAATGAACCTTGAAAACATTATGCTAAGTGAACAAAGTCCGTCACAAAAGACCATAAGTTGTATTATTCTATGAAATCTATAGACAAAAGTAGGTTAGTGGTTAACTAGGATGGGAGAAGGGTAGGGGACAACAGGAAGCGGCTACTAGTGAGTATGGTGTTTCTCTTAGGGTGATGAAAATGTTCTAAAATTAGACTGTGGTGATAGTTGCATAACACTGAATAAACTAAAAACAACTGAACAGAAATCATTAAATGGGCTAATTTTTTACAATGTAGAAACCAGTAGTCACTGGTCAGATTAGAAAGGTAAATTCTGCGGACTAAATGCGCAGTGTGGAAACTGAAACAACAAATATATTCTCTTTTTCAAGTGGTTTGGGAGACAACAAATATATTCTCTTTTTCAAGTGGTTTGGGAGAGCAGGGAAGGACAGTATTATTGGCCTATACCTGGTACTCTAAGTCCTCTTCTGTATGTTGCTGAATAAAGATTCTTATGAAGCAAGCATTAACATTTATCTAAGAGAGGAAATAGTTTCAACTTGAAGTATACTATAGTAATTATGGAATATTTGACTGATGCATGATGAAGACGATGTATCTTTTGAGGTCTTTCTAGTAGTGTTGGGTTTCACAGTACTGAATTCAACATTTTCCTCTACAAAAGTAGTTATATGTCTAGTACCCATATTTTGAAACAGTACAGACCTAGGTCCAGTATAGTACAGGTCCAATATAGACACAGAGATCAGTATAGAGAAATACACTCGGGAAGAAGTCTACTGTGGTAGTCTCCATTCCATGAAATAAAACAAATGAGGGAAACCTTAGAAGGTAGTTTAATACTACTGGTGTTAAGAGCTTAGCTTTGATGATTTTGAAAGATAAGAAACAAAGTCAAACTGTCTTCCAGTGGGACATGCAGGTGACCTCAAGGTAGTGACTACAATCACAGTATTTTTGAATGGATCTCTATTTTGTGGCAGGGGAATCTACAGGGAGGATTGTTTTTACACACTTCCCATCACCTACATTGTCTTACAACTTTCTTTAAACTTTTAGAAAGATAGATAAAAAGGAGTTTCCAAAGATGAGCAAGAAACCCGCATTCATCAAAGATGAGTAAAAAAACTCATTACTTTTCTAAGGTCACTTCTTTCCTTTAGTCCTGCTTAAATGCAAAAGCTGGTAACTTCACCTGTACCAAATCCATACCAAAGTAATAAACTATTTAAAAGAAAGTGGACTTTGTCCACATGCTTTTTATTTACATTGTTTCATTTACTATGACATCAAGGCTTGCTGAAGCAAAGTAACTTGCCAAGGTCAAAGTGAAAAGAAAGGGAGTGGTCTCGCTGGATTCCAACTCGGGTTGGTGTTAAGCCAACAACAATCTAAATTTCAAGACGAATGCAACCTTCTGGGAACGCCGCGTAGGAATAGATGCAAAGAAATAGACACCAAAACTACTTTCAACGTGCTTTAAAAATATCAACTATAATTCAGCGACCATCTTTTGAGGGCTGCTACCATGTGCTTCGTTCAATTCACAAGGATTTATTTAACTCATAACAACCCTGGAAGAATTAAGCCAGTTCACAAACTAATAAGCTGAAACCTGAAGATGCCCGAAATTATACAGTTAAATTAAGTAAATACAACTAGTTCCAATGATGCAGAGTGTCGTCAAGCTGTAGCTGGGGGCGGGCGGGCGCGGAGCGGGGTAGGATGGAAGTTTAGTAATCACCCAGACTTGGGTTAAAATCTGGTTCTGACATCACTCTCAGAAGCACATCCAAGTAACTACCAAAGAGGTAAAGGGGGGACTCGAGATCCCACTACCAGCGCGGGGAGAGACTAGGAGACTAGGACGGCCTAAACGCCAGCCCCTTCCTAGACCAGACTGCCGTTCCGGGTCGCACGCGTTACAGTTTCACAGAACTCTCCTTCCAGCCAGACTTGCGGTCCCACCCCTTCCGGAATCCCTCCCCCACTTTTTTCTCACGGTGCTCACCAACATGGGAACTCCGTAGCGAAGGGTCTTATTCTTGCGCAGGGCGCGCATCACCGCGTGAGCGAACATGACTAAACTCTCCGACCCGCTTGGAAGCCCAGCCAAACAGGCCAGCGTGGCCTCCCGAATCTCAGTGGCTCAGGGTCCCTCCTCCGGAGTACGTCCTTTACTAACCTCCTTTCCTTTGCCTCCCAGTGCAGAGCCCTTCCAGATAGGTCTCCGCCAGGCAAAAGCAATAGATCCGTAGTAACATACTCACGCTTCCCCCCGGAAATTCGAGCGTCAAAGGTTTGGTCCGGGAAGCTGGTTTGCAATCGGAACTTAGGGACTTACGTCGTGTTTATAGTAATCGTCAAAGGCTATAGAAACCTGTACCTCCTGTGTTGTGGGTCTCTTCTTAGAACACTCCCTGGCACATAAAATCAGCTCAATAAAATCTCTTTTAAAAAAGTAACTTTGAAGCCAGTACTCTAGCCTCTAGTTACGTGTGGGATGGGTAGTTTACCAGCTTAAAAAAGATGGAGGAAAAAGTGCAGCGAAAGTTTAGGTTTAACGTTAATTGGTGTAGTGTCTTGCTATCCGTGAATTTTTAATGCTAGTGCTTTTATTGCCAGGTTGCGTGTAATCTTCAGTCATTTATGAATGTCTAGTTTCCACTCATTCATCAACCATCCAGCACACCTTTCTGTGGGACACAGAGAAGAAGAGATATGATCCCTGCCTTAAAGAGGCTGGCAATATAATGGGCACAGGAATGAACCATGGGTAGCTTGGGAAACAGACCTCCCCCCGCAGTGTGTGCCATTTGCCAGGATGAGTCAGAGAAAACCTCAATTGTCAAGTGTTTGAGATGACATAATAGTATAGAGTGCAGGTGACATGACTCACATTTCCCATGCTATCCCTGAAATCTTTCCATCTATCCCTGCCTCTTTATTGCCACTGAAATATTTCTGGTTTAATCCCTTATCATCTTTCCATCTATTAAATTCGCCCCTAAGTGTCTCTAGAAAAGAAATTCCTGATCTCTTTCCTGCCTTTAGGCTGATCTAATTAACACTCATATCTAGACACCAAAACAACAACACAAACAAAGAAAAACCTTAATTATAGGGACTTCCCCGGTAGACCAGTGGTTAAGACTCTGTGCTTCCAATGCAGAGGGCGCCGGTTCTATCTCTGGTGGGGGGAACTGAGATCCCACATGCCATGGGTGTGGCCAGAAAACTTAAAAAACAAAACCAAAACCTTAATTATGAACTCAAGTCTATCTCCCACACTGCTGACAGTTAAGAGACATAGATAATGATGAGATTCTCCTTTTTTTCTGCCTACAATAGTCACTCCAATTTTCTTAGCAAGTAATTGAAGGGCATTTGTAATATCACTTTGGCCTGCCTTTTCTACCACTGTTCTTCATTCAACCCATGCTCCATCCTGGAGGAGATATTAACTCCCTGAGTATTGCATGAACTTCCACATCTTCCAGATGCAGCTTTAGGGACACCAGGTTCTTGAAGCCTCCCTTACTCCACAGGCAATGTAAATTATTTCCTCTTCAGAGCTCCACTAGTCTTTGACTAAAATATTTCACAGAGCTCTATCACACTGTATTGTCGGTTTTGGTGTACAAAGTCATTGTTGTCCAAACAGTACATAAGAAAGATGAAAAAAAGGAGAGTGGAAATAATAGTTCAGGGTTTGAATTTGAACTTTGGGGTTTTGTTTTGAGTTCTGGGGCTGAGCAAATATATCAACCCTCACCCCCAAAGCATCACCTGAACTCAACCAGGAAGATTTTAAAGTGATCAGCGTAAGGTTTATTAAAGTAAGACTGATAATCCCTTCCCTTACCCCTATTTCTCCAATCTTCTCCTACCCCAATCTCTCTAAAAAAGAGACACCTTGAAAACCTGGGGACTGGAGCAGTAAGAAAGGTGGGAAGACTTAGCCTGAGAGGTTAAGTCACACTACACAGTTGCTGGGAGAAAATTATTTGGATTCATGGG